GCTTTTTCTTTGCACAGCATGAAAGAAAGGCGAAATAAATGGGCTGTGATTTTTGTATTTTTAAGCAGAGGTCAATCATTTGTACGGCCTTCGGAGGATGTTGTAAAAATTGAAATGGCCCTTGAGAAAAAAAGGTTCCCCACCCCTGCATTAAAGGAACATTTTATTAAAAACGTTCTGTCATCTCAGGCCTTAATCACATCCTCAAAACATCCTCTGAATGTTGAAGTTAAAACGTTATGTCTTAGTTAACCTTAAACCTTATAGGAACATTATTTGAAATAATAAACATCCTAAAAAGTTTCTTTGATCATCAGATTAAAAATGTTTCTTAAAACATTATCAGAACCTGTAGTAATGTTGGCAAAAGTTGTGAGAACGTTCCCCGCTAGCTGGGTAGGGACTATAGGGCAGTTGAATGTGTGTGTGTGTGTGTGTGTGTGTGTGTGTCTGTTCAGATTCAGAAACAAGTCGTGGATTTTACTCCAGGGAGAGACTATGATTGTGATTTTAAGAGTGACTCCATCATGCTCTGATGATGTCAATAAGTTCAATAGGGCGCTGTCTTTTCATTGCATCATTGTACACACTCTGCAGCAGACTGTGTGCTGATGGTTGTTACTGTCAGAGTGTGTTTAAGACAGACAAAAGGAGAAATAAAGAAAGGAAGATGAATAATAAATGCTTGCCTCACCCCCCAGGATAGTTGCTCTGGTCTCCGATGCTATGCTTTAGCAAGGAGTGTCACTACCAGATGTTATCCACTAACATCTGGCTCCAATTTGTTTTTCTCACAACATCTTTTAGGCAATTTTTTGTGGCAGCCCATATTGTCACTAATATTATTATTAACATATTAAGCCTATTTGCTTTGGCTCCCTCGCTAACTTCTGTGACACACACACACACACACACACACACACACACACACTGGGTTGGGCAGGTTTATTGGGAAATAAGTTGTGTTGCAAAATACAGGCAAACATCCATGAGGGTAACAGGAGATCGCGAGAAGAAAATTAGAAGTGAAGGAAAAGTACTATAGTAAGTTATTTTGACTATTTTTTAGATTAGATTAGAATTGCGATAACATCTATTGGCCCATGTTTGTTTAGTGATATGAACAAAATGCTAATGTACAACACTGTTCATTTGTAGACTTGTAGGGCTGTAAGCAATTGGAATGTATTTTAAATAAACAAAAGCAATTTGTGCTGAAACTAGTGCCATTTTGATATGTTTCCTTCTGTTGAATGTATTAACAAATAAACTAATATTTACCAAAAGAGCACTTTTAAAGAGAAGAGGAAAAGTGAAAGAGAAGTCACACTGTCTCATGGTGGTTTGTGCACATATTACCTTGACTCACTATTTTTTCTTCTCTGTTTCTCTGACACTTTTCCTGTCTGTCTTCTCTCTCAGGGCTTGATGTTATGCAGGTGTTGTGTCTCAGCTCTGCAACTCGAAATTTTCCTCTTAATTCAATCAACACCGAACAGTGGAAAAACACAATTTGGATGAAATGCTTGTCCTAAAATGTGTGGAGCCCCTAAGGAAACAGTGCAAAGCAAATATCATCAATTATTTTATAAGAACAATGTATCAAATGATGAAGATAATCCGAAAGTGGTCGTCAATGATAAACATACAGAGAATCTTTAACCAAATCGGCAGCTCTAATTTACAGAGCTTTAAATCAACCCTGCTGCAACTTCACTGTTTTGGATCACATTGAACATGACAAATCATTCTACACCCTCAAAAACAGTGCCATGGCTTCTGAGACACAGTATTTCCTGCAGAGCTTGCTCTCTAACAATAATCCCTCACTTGATTGTTTTACGCACGTATTTCCTTCCTTTCACAAAAGAGCTCTCATGTAATTAGAAAAGATAAAAATGCACAGCTTATTA